TAAAAAACTATGATAATAAAAAAAAAACTAGAAACTTAATTATCATATAGTCCTACTCCCCGCGGTATCGTTCCAAGAACGCTAAAAGAAATATTATGTTTTATACATAATATTTCTTTTATAGAAGCAACACTCATGTTTATAAATAGCATCATATTTAATGTTCAATCCGCCGCCTTCTCTATGAGTACAAATGGATCAGTGATCTTAAAATTAAATTGTGTCAAAGCTCTGTCAAGTAAGGGTCAAGTGTCGATAAGATCTTTGTGCAGCGGATCGTCTCTAGGCAGGCGGCGGAGGGCAGGCAGAGGGCGGGCGGACAGCGGGCGGAGGGCGGGCGGCTCAGTGCGCGGCGCGCGGCCGACACTCGCGCCGGGCCGCGCTGCTGTTTGTAAAGCTCTCTCTTGACTCGTCTCCACAGAGCAAGGTTTCAAAAGCGCGTCAAGTACTAGTCCTAATAGCCTAGGTCCTCGTGTTTACTTTACAAAATCGTTCGCATGAACTCGCGCTTCAATTCAAAGTTTTACGAGTGGCAGCTGGTCGTTAAATCGTGCCCGACAACTCCTGCTACCTAATTTCGACCAGTTCTTCGTTTACAATTCAGCAGTTATCAGTGCATCGATATACTTCAATAGGACGCGTGTTGTGCAATCGGTGTTGGTGTGTAACGCCGGTGTCAGTAAATATTCAAATTGTATACATGGCATCGCTCGTGTTGATTTACTTTTCCGACAGTCGAACGATCCCGACAGTCGTTGTATAAACAAGTGTCGCAGACGACCCGTTGCCGACTGTCCAGACACCGGGGCCGGATCTTCGACGTTTTCAGTATCTATGTACTTTTTAAAAGTTCGAAACAATTTTTAACCTTAGGTACTAAATGACCTTTAATTGTAAATATTTATCCATTAAAAAAATTATTTCTGTTTTTAATTTTAATAAACTTTTCAGATATGTAATATGCCAACACTCATTAAAGAGTTTTTGTTTATCCTTTCGCTATAATTCCTACACTGGTGTACATTTACTTTACATTGATCATAAACATAACGAGCTAACATAAAACTGTTTTTATCTATATTTTATTTCTAAGAGCGTGACGAGGGCGTTAGAAACAACCATTTCCACGCGTATCTCTAGGTGAGTACCAGATTAATCCTAAAGATTCAATTTAGATAAGTCGCATACATGCGAAAGGCAGTGGAAACTTAAATTTATACTCCACTGAGTATTGGAGAATGAACTGGGAGTTCACAGGTTAAGGAAAGGTAGGTTTTTTTCACGGTTTTAGCACGAGTGGGTCGACTCGACCGGTCACGCTCTCACAGAATACCAGCGTAAAATAGCGGCTTAATGCTGCTGTATTTCGTATGGTGAGTGTAGAGAAGCGGAGATCCTTTTTACTGGACACGAGGCATTCCTGAGGAGTAACAACGCATTTGCATTTTGGTTCTTAAACGAGGATAAATGTAGATATCTATGGGCCACAACATCCACTTACCATATGTTGGTAATAAATAAAGCAGTTAAAAGTGGTGCAATTTCAGGAGGCGCGAGGTGAGAGGGCAGCCGAGAGGTCGTGCGAGCTGTCGTGCGAGCGATCGTGCGAGCAGCCGTGCGAGCGGTCGTGCGAGGCGTCGAGCCGCGGCGCGCTGGAGGCACTCCGCCGGCACTCGCGCCAGATCGCCGCGCGCCGCGCACGTCGCGTGCAGGTGTGACTTCCCTCACCGTCCACCATCCACACCCTATCATCATAGCCTATCCGTTAACCATTATAGCCTATAAACGTCCACTTCTGAACACAGACCCTCTCCCATAGATTGCCTCATATGAGGATATTACGTCAGTTCCCACGCTTGGTTGGATTGGCAACCGAATTTTTTATTATTTTGAATAGTTATCAAGAAGATGCTGCCCAACTATTTTAGTTTTAGTGGGTCGTGGATATTCTTTCACCCCACTACGTAGAACTTCTAACTTATTAACAGTATCTTATAATATTATTCTGCAAGGACTCGCTCAAGTCCTGTTACAAAACACAGTCTACCACATAGTCACACAGTTACTAGTTGGTACGACTCCATTTCTACCTAGGAATTCGTCTGATAGGTACCACACTCCTGCCTATTTCTGTCGCCAGATAGTAATGCTTGAACTGCTGGGTTCCACTCTGAAAGGCACAAAGAGTGAATATGATTACAGGCTGTGATGCATTATATCTTAGTTCCAGAGGTGACGATGCATTTGTATAGCCTTTGTTTAAAGATAGCTGCAGGTGTCCATGAACTGCAGGAGCCACTTACTGTCAGGTGGATTGTAAGTTCGTTTGACAGTTTAGTTTAAAAGAAAATTAAGTGTCAAACTACACCGCCATTGCAGCCTTTTATAAGACTCTTATTAGTTAACTAGCTGTTCCCCGCCAATTCGCCCACGTGTAATTTAGATGTTTAATTTTTTGTGCGGAACCCTAATAGTTTTTCTTAAGTAAAAGTAGCGTAAGTTACTCCTTATAAGATCAGCTATCTGATAGTGAAACTCCCATCAAAATTGGTCCAGTTGTTTCGGAGATTAGCCAGAACAAACAGTCAGACACAGACAAAAATTTAAAAAAATGTTTTTGTTATAAGTACCGTACATACTTTCATATGAATTTAGTGAAAAACTGTTATTTTGACATTACAAACAGACACTCCAATTTAATTTATTTGCATGTATGTGTATGTATATAGATTCAGAATTCCCAGCCATCTTTATCCTTCGACTCTATATCTCATCAGAACATTCTTCATATAACAGCTAAATAACTTCTATTTCAACTGGTATTTGCTGGTTTTTGCTAAAATGTTTGAAAAATTTTACCATGTACTGACGGTGTAAGAATATCCACTACCCCATACCATCCCGTGGGTCGTAAGAGGCGACAGAGGGAAAAATCTTCCTAATAACGACTAAAAATAAAAACCCTGCGCTCGCCAACCCGCCTGCCGATTAGGTTAAAATCTTTAGAGTGTTTCCCGTATTCATTCCATATATCATTTACGTGGTAGAGCCACGCTTCAGCTATATTATTGTTGTAGCACGAATGGGTCGGCTCGACCGAGGAAGGACCTCGCTCTCATAGAATACCAGCGTAAAATAACAGCTTAACACTGCTGTGTTTCGTATGGTGAGTGTAGAGAACCGGAGATCCTTTTTATTAGAAACGAGGCATTCCATCCTAATTCTCAGGGATGACAACCATTTGCATTTTAATTTTTAATCGGAGATAAATGTAGAAATTTCTATGGGCTACATTATCCACTTACCATCGGGTGAACTGTGCGCATTTGTCACTCCCTTGCTATAAAAAATAAATACAATACCCAGGCAATACCCAAATATAAGGCTGGGCGAAATGTGGTACCACCACATGGCGGATTTCCAGCACAAAATTACAAATATCAGTTACGATTGTAACATTACTAATATTCTAGGAGTACGCTTCATATGCTTGTATCGAGAAGTGATTGACAACAATATTCGAATGGCGATATTGAACCTACGTTTGCATTCCCAACTTTTACCAGTAGATTAATGTCGCAAAAGGCGCGCTCGCAACTTCGTTTTTGACATTGCATACTTAATCCGCTATAGTACGAAAGGACGAAGTCAAAGATCTAAAAATACTATCATTTTAATCTAGACGTAACTACCTCCAAACTATTTTCATTTTTCAATTTCATTTTCATTTTCAATAGTCGATCTACGGCTGAATATACTGTATGTATATATATTCACATGATACTATGAAAATCTGAAAACAATGCCATTTAAATCTAGACAGTGGCGTGTCTCGAAATAACGATTGCAACGATTATAATTAAACATAATATATAAATAATGTAGCGATGTTAAAGCCGTAGGTTAGATAGACGAAAACAAATGTATGGCTTAGAGAAGCATTTATTACTGTATCTATTGCTACTATAAAATCCTTAATATGCAACATGCATAGTATACATAAGTAATATTGTACATAAATGCTATGCCACACATTACTGATGGTCGTTCCATTGCTGGATGTTAATCTGAACAGCCTTTATAATTTGTATTGCGATTATTGTCACTTGGTGAAACTCCAGTTTCATTTTTCTGACTTGGATAAATACTTGTATTCGTTTTACAATATTTATTTTAATTTTTTTTATTAAATAAAATACTAGTTATGCTATAAACAATACTAATATTCCCTTAAACAACTCCTGGTGAGCTTTAAATGCTGGTGTTACGAGTGTTTACGACATTATACGTGGTAGAGCCATGCTGCAGCTATATTAGTAGTATAGTTGTAGCACGAATGGGTCGGCTCGACCGGGGAAGGACCACGCTTTCACAGAATACCAGCGTCAAACAGCAGCTTAACACTGCTGTGTTTCGTATGGTGAGTGTAGAGAGCCGGAGACTTTTTTTGCTGGAAGGGAGGCATTCCATCTTGGTCCTCACGGGTGGCAGCGCATCTGCGTTTTGATTCGCAAACGAGGATAAATGTAGATGTCTATGGGCCACAGCAACCACTTCCCATCAGGTGGACTGTGTGCTCGTTTATCACCCTATCCTATAAAAAAATATTAGCGGATTCGAACCCACGACTTTTTGAGTCGCTTCAAATTATTAGTAATATATATTAATTATAAAAACCGAATATTTTAAAATATTGTGAAACTAGTACAAATGTTTATCCACATCACAAAAACGAAACACGTTTTACCTCACTGCACTTCGCGCACTGTGATCGGCATTGTGAGCCAGCCGCCCGCCCGCCCCGCCGAACGGAAACGGGCGTCCAGCCGCCCGCCCACCGACCGACCGTCTGTTTCAGTTCTCGGAGCGCCACGACGGACGCGGCGATGGCGGCGACGGCGCCGGTGAGTGTCGAGCGGCTCGCGCGCTGACCGTTCCGCGGCCCACCTTTCACCCACCCACCGTCACCTAGTTTTGTGTGCGCAGACAGCGGCTCCGACATGTCCGGCGGCGAGCGGCGCCCCTCCACCTGCCGCGTGGAGCTGGGCGCGCTGCTGGCGCCCGAGCCGCGCCCGCCCGACAGCAAGGTCAAGGTAAGCAGGAATGCGCCCGCTCAGGGCCGCCAAGTGTCTATTTATCTATCTATTACAATCTATAAAAGTCCATTGCTTTCCAATAGCTCTACCACGTATAAATTTCTATCGATGGAATGTCTCGTTTTCAGTAAAAAGTGTCTTCGGTTCTCTACCTTCACCATACGAAACACAGCAGCACTTAGGTGCTATTTCACTCTGATATTCTGTGAGAGCGTGGTCGTTCCCCGGTCGAGTAGGCCCATTCGTGCTACAGCAATAATACAGCTGCAGCATGGCTCTACCACGTATAAATTTCGATCGTACTGCTACCATTATTTCTCTTTTTGTTGTTTCTTGTTTCGTCTTTAAATTTGCTTCCATAGTGGGAGGTGATTCAGGAAACTGATGAACCAAATCGGGGACAGCAAGGTCAAGGTGTCTGCCCGGGGCTGCCAGATGAACCGCTTAACCCCTACTCTTAATATTTTTTTCTCTTTTTGACGTGAATATGTCTTTTAATTTGCTTCCATAAGGGCAGCCTTCACACTGCTGATAACAATCGAGGATACAGTTTGGTGTGGCAGCTAATCTGTCATCTACACCACTCACTAGCTAAAGAACCAAAGAATTCGTTACATTGAGTGAGGAATGTGACGTAACGCCGTATCGATGGAGGAGGGGAGGGGAGGGGACACTGTTTAAGGTCGTTTCGTTACGTACAGGTATTTACGTAAAACACGACCGTGTCCACGACACAGCCCCATCCAGATTTTCCTACGACTGTACGATCACAAGACTATGATCCTACGCCAAGCATACAAATTTTTATGACAATTAAAATCCGGGAAACTAGCAACATTTATATATATATATATATATATATATATATATATATATATATATAAATGTTGCTTTATATTATATATATATATATATATATATATACTTATCGTGGAGATCTTTAGTTCTTTCTTTTACAAATTTTATTGCTCCTACAAAGTGTTCTCTGCTAAATTATATATTGACTAGTAAAGAACACCTTAAGTCCAATTTTGTACATTTTTCTGCAACGAAGTTTAAATAAATAAAATAAATATTCATTTACGTAAACTTATTTTTACATATATATTACTTTCAAACACACCCATAATAAATAATACATAAAGGTACGATTTTTGTATTCCAATGTTGCCATAAAATATGAATTTTTACATCTGGCAACACTGCCGCCCCTCGAGCTCCATTCAGCTCTGGCTCGATCGACACGCGGCATGCGCCTGCGTTGAGCGCCTTTTTATGCATGTACTATAATTACGCGCCAAATAGCGGGCATTCCAGTGCGCGCGTTCTCATAACAAACGTCACTGTCCAGGTCGATTGGGTTTATTATGAAAATCTACCGTCGGTAACGAGTCTAGTAGGGCCGCGCCGCATTTGCATAATGGCGCCTCTCCCCACCTGACCTACTTCACTTTATCGTTGTTCATCTTCAAACGTAACTACACAAATTATTGTAATAAAAATTTTATTTATTGAGACTTAGTTCACGTTGATGTTGATGTAACAATAATATATTCTTATAATAGTGTTAGCATTATAAAAAAAGAGAACATTAAAGAACAAATGTAACAAATTAAACAATCCGCGTACACTACATTTATCTTTTTACATGTAGGTTTAACTAGTGCCTCATAAGGGTGGAATTCCACATATCAGCAAATGTATTCAGGATGCTGTTGGTAGTCGACTCAGTAACGAAGCACAAAATTCGTGTGTAAAAGCTTATGAAAACCTTTATTATAATAATACAATATAACAAGTACAATACGGGCCATAGTTTGCAACTCGTTGATAGTGGAAAAAGTTTATAGCTACGCAGTTTTTAGATAATTTAAGATGATAGTATTAGTGGCATATAAAGTAAGCACACGTGTTGTTACTGTAACAATTTACACACACACTGAGTTTAATTTGATAAATAGGTGCATTATATGCAATTCGCAGCGCAGCAGTTCGAACCGCGTCACAATAATGTAAAAAATGGCCTGAACTTCTCCGAAAAAAGGAAAGTACGGCCGTGCCGCTTTTTTGCTTGAATTGGCGGAGACACTGCCGTGCCCCCTGAAATGTAAAGTTTTTGCACCGTACACATACATATATACTAAAATAAAAATTTATGTTTCTATCTTTAATATTAAAACATTAAAGAAATACAGACAGCAGTTATTTGCATATACATTTATATATAAAAATTACGTGTCACATTGTTTGTCCGCGATGAACTCCTAAACTACAGAACTGATTTCAATGAAATTTTGCACACTGTGTGCTGTTTGGTCCAACTTGAGAGATAGGATAGTTTTTGTCGCGATAAGTGACCTTCAATATTTTTTTATTGCGAATTTAAGGATTTTTTTATGGGAAGGGTCGTTGGAAAGGGCAGAACAACGTCTGCCTGGCCAGCTAGTTAAATATAAATAACAATTTTTAAATATTTGTCTGTCTGTCTGTTCGGACCAATCTTCGGAATGGCTGAACCGATTGCGATAAACGTTCATGAACAGATAAAGAGCACAATGCCAGAAATGATCTAGGCCATACTTTATCCGAAATACGAAATACACACGGCCCAATACTGTACTACTACACTGAGTATTTGGGCATTAGAGATTTGTAAAAAAAGTTGATAAAATATATGGCTGAGCCAGGCGAAGCCAGAGCGAGTCTCTAGTACCTAATAATAGAAGAGTATGATTATAATCAATATAGATTATTATTTATTACATAATACTTATTGAAGGTCATTTTTTATTTACTACATTTATTATACAAAATAATTACAATGAATATCAGTTGGAGACGGCACGATCTTCGTAATATAACTTAATTATAATATAACAGCACAATATCAAACTGAAGAGTACAATAAAAATCAAATATTTCCCAAAGAGTCCTTGAGACGCTAGACAAGAAACAAGATGATAGTCACATAAACATTTTTCTTAAAGATTTACCATAATATTGACTGCGAAAGGAATTTCAGGGAGTCTGTCGGCTGGCGTCGACATCCAAATCAGCTCGGTAAAGAATATTTCCTTTTCTATATAACTCTGATTTTTCGTGTGAACAGATCTTTAAATTTTTTTTATGTATTAAAAATTTTATATCTACTATCAAATAATCATACAATCAATTCTTTATTTGCGAATACAGGTACCTATTAACAAATGTGTTTTATAATATTATCTATCAAGTTCTTCTGTATTTCGCCATATCGGGTATACAAAATAATATACATGAAATAAAAAATTACATACATATAAAAAAATAATTTTTTAATAATTTTCGTAGATCTATATCTATATCTACGCAAATATAGATAATATTTGCGTAGATCGGACCAAAATTATTAATTAAAAAAGCTGAAGGTACTCCGGTTTAACACTGACATCGGGACGTCAATCACCTCAGTCCCCCGTGACCACGGTTGCTGGAAAGCAACCGAAACGTCGGGAATATAAAATAAGTTAATTAAACGCGATAAAATCCGTAAAAATAGTTTTATTCAATGTCATATCATTAATTAATTAAATTACATTATATTCCAATAGATCACATTGCGGTACATTACATTTGAATAAATATCTACATAAATAATAATCAAATTCTGGAACTATGTGTCATAATGATTTTACCTTCATTGAAGTTAAGATAGGATGATTTATTTGTTAGAATATCGTACATTAAAGTTGTTACAACATAATTTGGATCCTAAATATTCGGCCGTTTCCGGCGTACAAATATTTTCAGACAGATTGAAGCGTGATAGAGCCTATATATTAGTAATATAGTTGTGGCACGAATGGGTCGGCTCGACTGCGGAAGGACTACGCTCTCACAGAAACCAGCGTAAAAAAAACAGCTCAATGCTGCTGCGTTTCGCATGGTGAGTGTAGTCAACCGGAGACCCCTTTTACTGGAAACTAGGCATGGCTGACAACGCATCTGCATTTTTATTCGCAAACCAGGATAGATCAACACAGCATAGGTCACAGCAACCACTTAACATCACGTGTACTGTGTGCTTGCTTTTCGCCCTAACCCTATAAAAAAATGATTTCTTATATTTACGCGAACACTACACATTTAAATAAAACTAATTTTACGGATTTTATCGCGTATATTAACCTATTTTTATATTCGGGTGCTGGAAAGCACCCGAAACGTCGGGAATATAACAATAGGTTAATATACGCGATAAAATCCGTAAAATTAGTTTTTATTTAAAAAACCTATAAAAAAAAGAAAAAAGACATTTATACTTTATTTTATTAGTTTGGTTTGGGTGATAATACTAAATGAAATTAGTGATTATTTATACTGAAAACTGACTATAACACTACATTGGTAAATTAGTTAACTAGCAATCCGCCCCGGATTCGCATGAATAATTTCTGGTTTCTGAATCACAACAAAAGTGCTGCCTACCGAGTATAAGTAAATATTTTTTTATCAAATTCGGTCAAGCCGTTTATGAGGAAAAGAATTACGAACATGCCGGAAAATAATCATTCTTGACTTAACGGCAATTCAATGTTACAAACATACACTTCGATTTCATTTATATGCATCAATATACAACATGTAACAAAGATCCTGTGGTTCCCGTTAAGTGCGTTATCAGAGTCAGTATTCACACGTAAAGAAGTAACTTTTTTTCAAAAAACTTGAACATTAAAAAATTTAATTTTAATTAAAAAAATAAATTTGCAAATTGTATGTGTGGTTTTATTACCTCTAACTGACACGAGCATCGGTGAAGGGGGATCGTTTACAATCCTCTTATTCTCCGGATAATGCAGAGGTAATAAAACCACATAGAATTCGCAAATTATTATTTTTTAATTAAAATATTTTTTAATGTTCAAGTTTTTTGAAAAAAAGTTATTTCTTTACGTTTGAATGCGTACGTTGTATATCTTAACTACTCGATTTTAAGATGTCGTTAAGTATCGTGATGTCACGTTGCCACTTTGATTTAAAGTGATAGAGACAGCACGAGACTTAACGGCATCCTGAAATTGACCAACATTTGAGTATATAGGCATTAATCACGTAAAATGTGTTCTGCAGCGACACAGCATCCATGGGATGACAGAGGAGGAGAATGTGGTGCGCCCGCACCAGGAGATGGCTGTACTGTCGCTGGAGGAGAAGAAATACCTGCTTGGCGTGGAGAGGGGTGATGTGGCGGGCACGAGGCGGGTGCTGCAGCGCGCCCGGGACACCGGGCACATCAACGTGGACTGCGTGGACCCCCTGGGGCGAAGTGCGCTCCTCATGGCCATCGATAACGAGAACCTCGAGATGGTGGAACTGTTACTGGAGTTCGGGGTGGAGACACGAGACGCCTTATTGCACGCCATCTCCGAAGAGTTTGTGGAGGCTGTCGAGGCGCTTCTCGATCATGAGGAGCGCACCAGAAAGCCGGGAGAGCTGCATGTTAGTTTTCCAATTTATATATTTATAGCTCGATTGCTTTTGTTACTAATTAATACAACCTCAAATTTCACATAAAATTACCAGAAAACTATGTTCTTAGATGTTTACTTTAAGTTACAAATGTAAATAATGGAATTTATCGTGTTTTCAGAAATCAATACGCAAATATTAATTTAAAATTAGTAGTCACAATTAGTAATAATACGATTAAGGAATGATGGTATTGGCGTATCGTTTCGACAAAAATCCCAAAAAATATTAAAGAGAAAATAAAACTTTCCAAATTACAATTAATAGAATCAGGCGTTACCTTGCGGAAATCCAATAAATCCATTATGGGTTGACTGGTAGAGACTGCCTCAAGACATTAAGTCCGCCCTTTGTATTCTTTTGTATAAATAAATATATCAAAAATATATTAAAAATTAATTAGCTAAAATCCGCGTCATAAAATAAAGCGTGCTTATTTACTTAGCGGTCAACTATCGCAGAGTCTATTACACCTGAGGATGCCTCGTTTATAGGCGAAACACGTGTCAATTTATCGTCAGTGGTGTGTATTTCCTAGTGTAGTTATGTTGGGAGTAGTGGTGCTGGGATTAGTGGTGACGGGGATAGTGCACGCAATTGAGATAATACACAGTTTATACGTGGTAAAGCCATGCTATACGTGGGAGAGCCATGCTGCAGCTATATTAGTGGTATTATACACGAATGGGTCGGCTCGATCGGGGAACGATCACACTCTCACAGAATACCAGCGTAAAATAGCAGTTTAACACTGCTGTGTTTTGTTTGGTGAGTGTAGAGAACCGGAGACCCTTTTTACTGGAAACGAGGCATTCTATCTTAGTCTTCATGGGTAACAACGCATCTGCATGTTGATTCTTTATTGAGGATAGATATAAATGTCTATGGGTCACAGCAACCACTTACCATCAGGTGGACTGTATGCTCGTTTGTCACCCTATACTATAAAATAAATCTTAGATAATTGATTTTAAACATTTTTAATTCTTTCAAAATTGCAATTACAAATAAAAATATCTTTATATGCGTTGCATGGCGGCATTAGAGACCCTCATCAATAGTAATTAATGGGTATCGTTGAGGTCGACTTAGGATAGTGCTACAAAAACCTACTGACAGAGATGCAGGAAGTCGATGAATGTAGGTGACTCTGGACCGAGCATTGTGGCTTTCCTTGGGGAAGGTCTATGTTCAGCAGTGGACTTGTGAGGAGCTATAATAATGAATGTTATAGATATTAAAGTGAAGGATATAATATTTGGGAAATACAAAAGGATAGCAGTACGTAAAACGGTAGTAAGATACCAATTGGCAAAAGAACCAGGCCAACAATTAACAGCACTTGCACAATACGTGATCACAACCACAGGTGTATTCACAGATATACGTAACGGCCTCGATGCGCAGTATATCTTTTGTTCCAAGTCATTATGGGCGGGGAATGGGATTGAAAAGGATCAGGCTAGGTTTAGAAGTACACGAGCGTCCGTATGCAAAATATTGCAAAGGGCTAGGTTTTTTACCGTACAATGATAATGATGATCTGACAGATGGAGGAATAACTAACTGATGTATCTGCTAAAGTAGCGTCTACCGTGCAAGGCGTCAGGTACTGCACTCGCTTAGCTGCTTTCTCGACTATACGAATTTGGCAAATTCTCCTACGATAAAAGTTTCCGATATCAAGCAGTGGGCTGTTATACAAAACACTCAATATACTGTAACTGATATACAAAAAAAAATTCTTGTGGCGTAATTTAACGTGGTAAAGTCACTCTGCTGCTACATCATGTCTGCAGCTCGAATGACTCAGTAAGTAGATACTATGCTCTCACAGAATACCAGCGTGAATTTGCCACATAATGCTGCTATGTTTCGTATTGTGAGTGTAGAAAAACGGAAACTCTTTTTACTGCTAACGAGGTATTCCATGTTAGTCCTCAAGCGTGACGCATCTGCGTTTTGATTCTTAATTAATGATAACTGGAGATGGGCACTAGCGTCTTCTTAATTACTACTTATAATAAAAATTGCGGTTGCCAACTTGGCAACTGTGGCAAATATTCCCCCTATGAGGCAATCTATGGGGGAGGGTTATGTTCAGCAGTGAATTTTAATAGGCTGAACGGTAACGGTATAGGTGTTTATGACCCAAGTGGACTGTGTGCTCGCTTGTTACCCTTACGTAATTTCTTAAAAAAAAAGTCATTATTGATGAGATGAAATTACAATGGTAGCAATGCTTTGCACTATGTACGCAAAGAAATAATATTACTGTAAATAACTTTTTTAATATCCATCGCCATCACACTTTATCTTATCTTGCCAAGAAAGAAATATTATTTGATTTTAAATGACGCTCATTTTAATAGACGCTAGTAATTCATTAATTTGTACTTGTTAATCAATCTATACACATATAATAAATCTGTAGAAAAGTCGTGTCTGTAATGTCTCTAATTCTAATATATTCTTGAAAAAACAAGTCCAGGGGACTAAATAAAGGGTTCTGAAGCCAAATTAGTGGTTTTCAGAATTTTTGTCTGTCTGTCTGTCTGTCTTTCTGTCTGTCTGTCTGTGTATTCCGGATTCACGCAAAAACTACTGAACCTATTTACATGAAATTTTGTATGTAGGTAGTCACTAACCCGGGGCAACTTATAGGCTACTTTTTATCCGATTACGGAACTTCAAAAAAGGAAGGTTAAGTATATTAATTTCCTTTAGATGTTAATTTTCTGTTGTATCTTAGTTATAGGCGGAATGACGGGTGTTTTTCAAATAAATACCATATTACCATATTTGTAAATAAAGTTTAAAATATAGTTATAATCTTGTTAAAATAATTTGAAACTACACCGATTTCGTATTCAAAACAGCGCCATCTATCATCAAATGGAAAAAGTTGTATATTTTGTCTTCAGTTACTAATAAATGAAATAATATAAATAACTTACATTTATATGATTAAATTATTAGATTTTTAAAATTATTAAAAATTGTAACGTTCAGTCTTTTAGTATTTTTGTTTTTATATTTTAAAAGTGTAATAATTTCAATAGATAATAGTGATGTTTATCAAAAATATGAAAATTGATAAGGTATTTATTTCAATTACTAATATATATGTAAAGTGATAAAAACTGGTATGTCTGCAATTGTTGCAGAATTTTCATTATCATCATAGTTTTATTAAAGACATTTTTATGTAAGTCGTGGCCAGATCGTAGAATTGATCATATATCATAAAGTAGTTGTTATGTTCTTGGTACGGGAGACAAGTGAAACACAACACAGCTATTGACACACTGCCTGTATTCTCTGTTAGACACATATCGTGGGCGCAGCCACGCACACATACATATTACTCACGTACATACACAACAGTCCCTCCCCCTATTTAACTTATCTAGGAAATCACAAATTAATTTTAGAAGAACTGCTTATAGTCAACCCTGGGTATATCTCGCAACAGTCTTCTAGAACATCTCGGGTTATGAGGAGATGGTGAGTATGAGAATTCCTCCTCATCTCTTTCTCCCTCCCCTCTGCTTGGCAACTGAGAACCGCTATGTTCGCTTTGAATTGGGTCGCTTTCCCACATAAAATCGCCCAAATCCCCGGGTGGAGACATACCTTTATTTAATACAATTTGATTTTTATGTTTTTTGACGTCAGTAGAAGAACCATGGTCTTTAATCAAATATAGCACTTTACCGAGTCTTTTTATAACAGTACCTTGGCACCACAAAAATTTGCTATTATTCAGAAACTTTTTAAACATAACCTCATCGCCTGGCGCATACACTTGTTTATTATTGCCGCCATGGCATTTAATTTGCGAGCACTGTTTTTGTTTAACATCGTCATTTAGTGATGTGAGTGGGGTCGACGTTAACTTTGGGTGAAGTAAATCTAGACGTGTTCTCAGCTTACGCCCAAACACCAACTCAGCCGGTGATGAACCCGTGACAGAATGTACTGAATTCCTATAGTCAAACAGATATTTCAAAATTTTTAGCCTACACTCATTCCTATTGCGTGAACCTAAAACGCTTGACTTTATGCCCTTTTTGACAATTTTTACGAAACTTTCTGCTTGTCCATTACTAGCAGGATTGTAAGGTGGTGATGTAATATGAGCAATACCATTTAATAAACAAAATTTTGTAAACTCAGCGGATGTGAACGCAGTACCGTTATCGCTAACAATTGTGTGGGGTAATCCGTACTTAGACATAAAGTCGTAAAGTTTTTCAATAACGGTCGCCGAGGTGGTAGAAGTGCTCACGTCGTATACTTCTAACCATTTGGTGTGCGCATCTACCACTACTAAGAACGTTTGATTATTCAGCGGCCCCAGAAAGTCGACGTGTAACCTATGAAATGGTGTATGGGGAAACTCCCATGGTGCTAAAGGCGCTCTGGGTGGCGAGGGCCGTAGCTGTTTGCATATTTCACACGAGTGTATCATTTTTTCTAGCATTGCATCAATGCCTGGGAACCAAAACCGAGACCTAGCTTCTGATTTCGTTTTTACGATACCTAAATGCGAGCTATGTAACTCTAATAAAACCTTCGACCGCAAAGATTCGGGAAGTATCACCTTATGACCCCTCATTAAACAACCGTCTTCATATGATAATTGGGTCTTACATAAATGATAGGGTTTCAACTGCGAGTCCACTATTTTTTTTTGGCCAACCGTTTTGAACATAATTTACCACTAACTGTAATACAGCGTCCTCTTTAGTAGCTTTGCGTAACTCATTCAAGGTTAACGGCATGTCGCCTTCGACAACAAAGTTAACGTATGATGCGCGATCAATGGGAGCGGCGGCGGCGGCGGTGTGTGCGCCGATGTTGTCTCCCTCGCTCTCGGCGCGAGCCCGCGGTGACTCACCCTGTAAACTCGCGCGAGACAGAAAATCCGCGTTATTGTCGGCACTACGAACATACTCGATTGTATA